CCCGAGGTGTCCAGGGGGCTCTGGCAGCAGAATTGGCTGGGTTGGGGGGCTGCAGCCCTCTGGAGCACCCCCCAGGCAAGATCTTCTCCTTTCGTCCCCTTGCGTCTCTTCACCCCCTCGAGCATCAGTGCCCCCAAAGTCTGGAAAAGCCCAGAGGAGCCAAGAGGAGCTCGGGTTCCATCCCGGCAGGGCTGCGCCATCCCCCGGGCCCTCCCTGTGCCTCCCCACGGTGACCCCAGGAAAAAGGAGCAGGTAACCAGAGCGAGCTCTCTGCCAAGGAAATCCTCCCCGAAAAGGGCTGCAGGAAGGTGCAGACCCCGACCAGTGACCTGGGGACATCTGCAGCTGTGGGACAGCGGCAGCAGCAGCACAGGAACCCCGAGAGGCAGAGCTGGGGACCCCCAGGCACCGCAGGATGCTGCTTTGGGCAGGTGAATGGAAAGGGATTGCACGGGAAAACAAATCCCCATGAGGAGGATGAGGATAACCGAGGACAGCCTTCAGTGTCCCCAGAGGGACAGAGGAGGTCAGAGAACCGCTGAGGAATTTGGGAGAGGTGTGCTCAGCACAAGAGTCTTTGCATTGGGCAGATTCTGCTCGTCCAGTCCGTCACTCCACGGTTCTGTGGCAGAATTTAAGGCTGGTTTCCACTTCAAGGAGAAGGACTCTGAATGTCAAGAGGAGGTTTGGTGTTTTGAGTTCCCTAAATCCAGTCTGCTTGGGCTCCTTGTTGCCATCACTTTGAAAAGGTTGCCACTGATGCATCCCTGTTTTTCTGTAAATTGAATTATTTTGCCTTCATAATGTTTCCACATAGAATTTTTTTTTATTTTTTCCCTTTCCTAAATGAGTAGCAGCTGCCTCCCCAGCTCTGAGTGAAGAGGAGCCAGTGTGCTTTACTCACTCTTGTCAGCTCTCAACAGCATCACTCCTCTTAGCAGTGCTGACTGAGGCAAACCCCCCTGGGACAGGCCAGATGGGAATCAGCCTGCCAAGAAATGCACTGGCTGCATTTCTCCTGCTTCCTCCTCACCTTTGGGGGACCCCAGGGCATGTCCTGCACCCTCCCGAGCTCCTGCCAGGGCAGACTCCTCAGCCAGAGCTCCCTGGGGATCAGCTCGCACCAAACTCCCTGGAAATCTCACACCTTTGGGGAGCAAAGGCTTCTCATCCCTTTTTTCACCTTCAGTGCTTTTGGAAATGCCAGTTCCAGCTTTCCTGGCAAAACAAGGGAAAGGAAATTGTCCAGGAGGAAAGGGAAGGGAGGGAAGAGGCTCAGTGGGGACCTGCCCTGGGCCCCTCGGGCAGGGACATCAGGGAACCCTCTGAGGCTCCGGGTCCCTCTGCTGGGCCCAGGGCAGCTCCCAGGTGAGAAAAATCAGCCCTGAGGAGCTGGGACTGAAACCAGGCTGAGCCCCTTGATCCCCCCTGCTCTGTCTGCAGGCAGCACGGAGCAATCCCTGACCCACAGCAAAATCCCTGTGCTGTCCCTGACCCACAGCAAAATCCCTGACCCACAGCAAAATCCCTGACCCACAGCAAATCCCTGACCCACAGCAAAATCCCTGTGCTGTCCCTGACCCACAGCAAAATCCCTGACCCACAGCAAATCCCTGACCCACAGCAAATCCCTGTGCTGTCCCTGACCCACAGCAAATCCCTGACCCACAGCAAAATCCCTGACCCACAGCAAATCCCTGACCCACAGCAAATCCCCTGTGCTGTTCCCTCATCCCAGCTGTGGTTCCATGGGAGGACACAGGGTCCAAAAGGACACAAACAATGCCCAAAAGGACACAAACAATGCCCAAAAGGTCACAAACAATGCCCAAAATGTCACAAACAATGCCCAAAAGGACACAAACAATGCCCAAAAGGACTCTGCCAGCTGGGAGGGGACACTTTAACACCCCCTCCAGCTTTGGATGGTCCCTTTGGATGGACCTGGGCAGGCAAAGAGCTCCTGGCTTCGGTTTGGTCTGGTTTGGTGTTGGTTTGGTGTTATTTGGTGTTATTTGGTGTTGTTTGGAGTTGTTTGGTGTTATTTGGTGTTATTTGGTGTTGTTTGGTGTTGTTTGGTGTCGTTTGGTGTTGTTTGGTGTTATTTGGTGTGATTTGGTGTTGTTTGGTGTTGTTTGCTGTTGTTTGGTGTTGGTTTGGTGTTATTTTGGTGTTGTTTGCTGTTGTTTGCTGTTGTTTGGTGTTGTTTGGTGTTGTTTGGTGTTGTTTGGTGTTATTTTGGTGTTGTTTGGTGTTGTTTGGTGTTGTTTGGTGTGATTTGGTGTTATTTGGTGTGATTTGCTGTTGTTTTGGTGTAGTTTGGTGTCGTTTGGTGTTGGTTTGGTGTTGGTTTGGTGTCGTTTGGTGTTGGTTTGGTGTTGTTTGGTGTTGGTTTGGTGTTGGTTTGGTGTTATTTGGTGTGATTTGGTGTTGTTTGGTGTTATTTGGTGTGGTTTGGTGTTGTTTGGTGTGATTTGCTGTTGTTTTGGTGTCGTTTGCTGTTGTTTGCTGTTGTTTGGTGTCGTTTGGTGTTGTTTTGGTGTTGTTTGGTGTTGTTTTGGTGTCGTTTGGTGTTGTTTGGTGTTGTTTTGGTGTCGTTTGGTGTCATTTGGTGTCGTTTGG